TTTATTTTTGCCTTTGATTTTCCTTTCTTTGCTTTAAAACTATGTGTTTTTGAGCATGTGGGAGCATGTGTGTGTCTTTGTGCCTCTGTGTGACTGGACCTGAGCCCATTTGATTTCTCAGTGTGGAGCGGATAATCCCATAATCTGATAACGATCCACTGTGCAGATTTAGTGATTTAAGTTTGGAGGCAAATGGTTGTTGCCATGGATTCCCAGTGGAAGAAGAAGAGAATAGTTCTCTATGAGATGTGCATGTGGCTGTGAGGATATGTGGGAAATGGATATTGGCGTTCACACAATTTTGCCATAATATGCACATGTAATAACATATTTAACAAACAAAATACACACTAATGGCCAAGTGATTGTTGTTTGTTTTTAAACTTTTAGATAATTAGTTGATTATTTCACATCATGACCAGTGTAACAGATTATTTCACAATTTCAATATGCAACGAATGAGAAATACCACATATTAAATTAACAATAAGAACACAGCACTGTTTTAGGCTCCTCTATATGGTTTATTCACGATTATTAAGTAACTTGAATAAATATTAAGTCCTAAGCGACAACTAAAACGTGTTATTTTAAATTTTACAGCAAGTTACTAAAAAAGTCCAGTAAAATCAAAGAAAAATATATTCTCACTGAAAGGACTAACTACCACAAGGCAAAATATATTTTCAAGATAACAGATATTTCGGGGTGGCACTGATAAACGGGAATCTGCTTGGAAGTCAGCCAGGACAACAACAAAAAAGAAGAAAAAAATAACTCAAAACCAGCTAAATAAAAAGAGGCTAATGAGAAATAGTAACTGTTGGCTACATTTGATACTATTGAAAAAAAATCCCACCCTGTGAGTTATTAATAGTATTTCTGGGAAAGCTTATTAAGTATCAGGGTTTTCTTTTCAAATTCTAAGAACTTCAAAGCACCATGACATGACCTGGTTTTTATAGTAAAAAAACTTGCATTAAGTTTTTATTATGTTTATGTTATCAGACATCATGCTAAATAATTTTGTAACTACTGCATCCCAAAGAACATTTCCAAAAAATTCCAACAAAGTGATGGAAAGCTTTCTCTCTTATGCATCTTGGTTTGAGTTCAAAGGACCAAATCTATTGGTTAATTATCTTAAACTTTAAAAAGCTGTTTAAAGATCACAAACAACCTAATAACTGAGATATGAACGGAGAAAAAGAGAGAAAAAGAGATACAGAATAAATGAGAATTAATGGTCTAGAGCTTGTGAGTCATCTTTTGGAAAATCTGTCAGCGTGTGTAAAGTATCTGCAAATGGTCCTATGTTAGATTGTAGTTCTTCACAGATTTTTCTAAATTCGTGATGACATGTTTGACATAGGAACACATGGTTCTACGCATTTATACACATCTATATTGTTTGAATAATATGGGCTGGCTGCCACCTCATCCTGGTGGAAGGGTTTGAGTTTCCCAATGATCCTAGGGGCTATGTTGTCTAGGGCTTCAAGCCCCTGGTAGGGACACCAAAGGCAAACAGACCCTAGGGGAGGCATCAGACGAAGTCCAGCCCAAAGACCCCTTATGATATAATGTTCCCTCACCTGGACACGGGTCACCAGGGGCCCACTTTGTTTGGTGAGGTTCTGACTAGAAGTTCTGACTAGTAATAGTCGGTTTAACCTTTACGCAGGCCCCTTGAAAGGGGTTGGACACTGTTATTCTGGATTTGCCCTCGGTGAGAGATGCTGAGTGGGAGTGGGCATACTTGTTGGCCCCCATCTCCGGGGGATGAGAGGGTAGCCTCCCTCTCATTCATTAGGGAGGACGGGTGCTGGCTGTAGTTCGTGCTCTGTATCTTACAGCAGTGCGGATTACCGCCCCTTAGAGGGGGTGCTGGAGAGAGCCCCTCCAGGGGACTCCCTTCTTCTGCTGGGGGACTTCAATGCGCAAATGGGCAATGACAGTGAGACCTGGAAGGGTGCGGTTGGGAGGAATGGACCTCCTGTTCTGAACCCGAGTGGGGTTTTGTTATCGGACTTCTATGGTCTTCATGGATAGCCGTAGCAAACACCAAGTTCAAAACGAAAGTGGTCCATACATCCTGCTGACACCAGGACACCCTAGGCTGCAGTTCGATGATCCACTTTGTCGTTGTGTCATCTGATCTGGGCCGCAGACGTCTTGGACCCTCGGGTGAAGAGGGGGGTGGAGGTTGTCGGTGCCTGTGGTGGCAGCAAGCCTCACATTTCTGCGCGTACAGAATGATTTAAGCCAAGTTTATGTGTGTGTCAATAAACTGCTGCGGGAGTCAGCCGCCTGCCATCATTCTTTCTGTCCAGGTGCAATTATTCCGCCGAAAGAATGACACGCTGGGGTTTGTTACCTCTTTGAGATGATGAAATTGGGTTGTAAAACCAGTCACCCAACAAACACATACATGACATGTCAATCATGTTAAATTACGGGATGCTTTATGCTCAGTAATCCCCAAGAGTGTTTTTTTTTACCCTTGCTTGAGCACCAATTGGAGCATCAAATTTTCCCAAATAACATCCATTTTAAAGTAGATGCAAAGGTATTTTCTATAACATAATAATATTTAGTTTCAGGCCAGACTTGGCCATTAAAAAGGAGTCGAGTCTTGGCCGGACAGTCTTTGGAGTCAGTGCAGAGCGTCTTGGTTAGGTAAGGGGCTGGATACCGTCCAGATTCCTCTAATCTCAGTAACTGGGCAAACACCAGAGACCACGGCTTTAGATTATTAGATCATCAAAAGAAAAAAAAGAAAAAAGGTCTTTATGGAGTTTTTTCAGTAGCTCATCTATCACTGATAATATGAATTTATTTTAATTAAGATGAAAATCGATATTAACATTTTTGCCAAGATTTGAAAAAGTGTGATTCGGAGATATTCACAGCATCAGAATATATGACATGTACCCTAAATCTTATAAAAGTTTTGAATGAATTCAAACACAACAGTTATAAATCACTATGATTTAAATAACAGAGTGTGAAATTAGAGGGGTGGGCAATTGACGTTTCGGCCACTTGAGGGCAGGAGAAGCAACAAAAAAAAACTCCAGTTATATTTCATATTTATTGTTAATCACTGTCAGTTGCTGTTTTAGACGAAAGGAACAAGGCACCTTGCTTATGTCTTCAATTCTAAGGGGAAAACTCTATGTATTCGATATTTTTTAAGTGAGTTTACATAGATACTTGCACTTAAGTTGAGAAAGTCTTAATAGGTCTTGTTATACAAATACTGTTTTAGAGATGTCTTTTTAACTGGGAAGCTCCTCTTTACTCAGTTTTGTGATAGTAACATGTCTTATAGTTTTTTATGAAAGACTTTACATCTTTGTTACATTTCCAGGAGCCTGACTAATCGTTACCGTGATAATCTACTGCGTTTCTGCGTAATGCGTGCGAGCGACTGGCAGTTTACCCGCCGCCACATTGTCCTGCGATGTCACTGTTGGCTTTAATGGTTCTCCTGCAACAATACATGCTGCTTTAAAAGCGTGCATTAAGCAGATTTGACCTTCTGTGCATCAGGGGTGGGGCTTGAGGGAGCTAACAGCTGTCACTTCTTGGAGCAAAGTACGAAATCATGTTGTAAATTTAGCAGCCTGGTTTTGAACATAATATTAAAAAAACGACACTTTGTGTATGTATGGCTGTAGAGTGCAGCCTAGTCTCTGTGTGCGGCTTGAAACATTTGAGTAGCCCTATTATGACAGCCTATATTTAGCATGTCGGCATGCCACATGGATTTGAGTGCATTATCCTTTTGCTATAAGCTTATCGTCTCCTCATCAATTGGCACCTTTTGAATCTGCCGGGCAGCTTTAGCGCACCGTGACAGGGAACATGGAAAACAAATGTTTACAGTGAGAAGTCGGCATCCAGACTTTCCTTCACAATCAGCAACATGTTCCAAAGGTTGAAAGTGCCTCTAGGTTTTGCCAGGTATGTGTATTTCTCTGCTATGGTCCTTCAGGCTGAACAGACTCCTCTAGGGAGCGTTGTGCCAGGATGGTGTTGTAGTGAATGCTGTAAATGTACTTACCATGGCAATAATAATGAGTTTTTCTTTGTGAATTGGCGTGTGGAACGATGGATTTAGCAGGTTTTATGCTGTTTTGAGAACTGGAGATGTTGTAAAAGCACTTTTCCGGTCGGTGAATTTGTAGCTCTATCTATCTGTATCTATCTTTTCATTTTTGTTTTCCCCACATCTACTAAAAATGGATTTGCGGGAGCAGGTTGATTCAGATGGAATTGACATCAACAGCATCGGAATGTGACATGTAGGCCCAAAATCTGATTGGAATTTTACGTGTGTTTTCTGAACAGTTCACACAAAGCCATTGTTCAGGAGAATAGTATGAATGGAAAACGTGTGTCGCCTCACCTTCAACAAAACACAGATGTTCCCTGGGTTTGAATGACAAACGATTATACTGAGTAATGGATGTCAGCTGGGATTATCGTGAGGTTTCAAAATGGAGATGGAGGCACTTACGCATTATTCTGATTAAGAGCGTCCCGTCCACGTCAACAAACCGCTGGTGTCTCCACTTATTCTGTCCTGGCTCCGTTTATTACAAAAAAGGAATAAAAAACGTAGACTGCGTACGACCTGTGTCATCAATTCAAACTTTTTTTTATGTTGAATGCCAAAATCAAGTTAGATTTCACGTCGTTACGCACAGTAACGCGCGCAAACTGGACAGTAGGCTGTGAAAACAACACCAACTTAACAAAAACGTGTTAGATAATTCCCACCAAAATCACTTCCATCCTTCAGTGCCCCCTTTTTTTTCCCCCCTGGCGACTCTGGTTATGTAAGAGGTTTAACGTGCGGGAGAAGGTGGAGATGCTCGGCGCGCGCGGCGCGTCTCGCTGGAATTACAGGCAGCACGCGCGCACCGACCGGACACCATGCGGCTGCTGGCTGAGGGCTGAGGGCTGGGGGAAGCGACCCAAAAGCGAGTTCCATGAGAAAAATGCCAACCTTTTCTGTCATGTACAAAGGGGCTGTCATAATTAGCAGGTAAGAAACGCGCGCGCCGCTGCGCGAGTGTGTGTTGTTGTTAGTGATTCATAGAGCAAAAAATGAAGGGCTTAGAAAGTTGTTTCATAGAGTTTATCAATCAAATGTTAATGTTGAGACAGAAACTGTTGAACAGTCTAAGGAATTATTTATACTCGTGAAGATACGTCATCAGTAGCGTTTTGTTTTTGTTTTTTTGGAAGCGCCTTTCCGCTATAATAATTTGCTGTATTTATTAATAAGAGCTTTTAAAGGAGATGGAAGGCAGATCTATGTAACAGTTGCATGTGTTTCCTGGTGTGAATCGACGGAAGAGGCTCGTGCCTCTCCATCTGTTCTGTCCAGCGCTCGCGCGCTGTGGTGCGTTGTTTTTTTTTTGTGGAACAGCGGCCAGAATATTCCTTTAATACTTTACCCGTGCCCCAATGTCCTGTCTTTAAAAAAATATCAATAACTTCCTCGAGTTTTTTCAATGCCTCAGTAACAATGAATCCATGTGGTAATGAATCTATTAATTCCAGATACTTTTCCAAAATGCAAAAGTTAATAGCCAAAAAATCCAAAACAAAAAAATGAACTACTTAATTTTATTACTATAACTGAAAGATCCCTAGATCTTACCTAAACACAAGTTTTTATGGAAACGTAAGGGCCAAATCTGGAATAACCTCTGCGTGTTTGCAAATGTGGTGCCACGTGACCCTGATTAAACAAGCAATTACATAGCCCACCATAAGAAACACTATGTGTGGATATAAAGCCTCTCCTTCAGATCAAGAAAACTCTTAACCTGTTTGTTTCTTAAAGTTTCTGTAAAAGTTGCGATCTATTTCTATAAACATGATTATATTATGAATATTCATTGCTGTTTCCACATATAGAGACTCGGACAAAAGTATGTCTTTTGCTGTAGTTGCTTACCTAAATAGATTCCACTTACACTTTTTAAAGCAAATATCATTCATGCAGTAACACCGCGTCATTTTTATGGATTTCAAACCCACATTTTGGTTTGGAAAGGTTTAGAAATGACAGCTTTTTAATATGTAAGAAAACCCTGAGCTTAAATAAAATCTTCTAGAGTCTCTGTGACATGCACAAAATGTCTGTGGGCCATTTTTATTTCTTCCAATTGTTCTTAATATCAATCAGATTAATCATTTGTAACCCCATAGTAGTAGTCAGTGAATATCAAATGCAGGAGTTTATGCCCATCACACCAAGACATCCCCCTCTGTGCTTTTAGGAGCTTTATTTTGAAATTTTGCAAGTATGCTCAGAAAGATAAGACCGTTTTTGAGTTTCCCCTTACAAATCAATGTCCTGGAGCAAGAAGAATTTTCTCAAAATGGAGATCTGAACCAGAAAACTGCAGGCGAGAAGTGCTTGAAATCCAGAACTGATGGAAAAGTTTCCTCCTTCCTGATGCTTTATTCTTTACTGCGGTGGTTCACAGCTCTTAATGTTAAGAATCTTTACGGCTTTGGTTTTATGCCTTGGAAATACATTAATTCTTGGTCAGGTTGAGATATGTGACTGAAAATGGCCAAGTAAAATATGTCTTTTCTTTATCTTCATATCACTACGTGTGAATTCCCTGCAGTTTCTCGTTTTTGATCATCTGTGTAGTGACATGTCAGCAACTGTTAGCTGATTAGCTGTGTTTATTTAAGTTGGCATTATGTCCCAATTAATGTCAAAGTTCACTCATATCTCTTTTGTGTCATCAAAAATCATTCAAAAATGCTGAGAGGACGGTCACCGCCATTCCATAAAAAGCCACAAGTCACCAACTTAGAATTTACAAGCTCAAATGTATCAACCTGAGGCAACTCGGTGGGTTGCCAGTAATCTGTCCTCATGTCACTAGTTCCTGAGTAGCACATGCCACCTCTGAGCTCCATTATTCATTTATATGTTTTCATCTGAAGGAGTGTTCCCACTCGGCCTCATTGTTCCACTAGCAGGATGTCAGCTTAACCCTTTAAAGCCAGATCCAATAAATAAACAGAGAGAAAATTATATTTTGACAGTCTTTATTTGGCCCTTTAACAAAATATGAAAAAGAAATACTAATAATTTTTGCTTATTGATTGTGCGATTAGTAAAAATTGTTGTCTATAATCTTCTGCCCGCTGTTATTAGGTATATCTGATTGATTCCAACTGGGTTTTCAGCTAATTTTTAACCATTAAATGATGCAAATGTCTCCAATACAAAATATTTCAGAAACTGTGTGCATCAGATATGATACATATGGCATTGAATACCATTATTTAGTTTCAAAGTTTTGCTAATATACTTTCTCCTTAAATTGATTTTCTACATGATATATCATTCAAAGGTTTTAGCCAAGTTCATTAGACAGAGTTCCCCTTTAAATTATTTTCTGTTCTTGTATTATATGCTTTTTAAATTAACATTTCAAGTTGTTATTATTATTTCTTTTCAACTTATTTTTCAGTATTTGCACCCCTAATTTCTTTTACTGAAAATAAAAAATAACCAAATAAACACAATTTAAAAAATCTCCAAAGAAGCTTGAAAATGTTCTATTTTCTTATATTTACACAAATTTTTTCCTTGACCGTGGTTTAATAGTGTCCTTTTTCAGATATTTTTAAATATATATTCATAAATGAGAAACCCCTATTTTTACTTTTTCTTTTGGGAAATTGTTGTTGTTTGAAAAGAAAAACAATGACAACGATTGCATTTCTATTTGGCTGATGGTGTGTTTACTTTTTATTTTATTATTATATAATCCAACAAATAACTGTGTATTGGTGATATCTGAGAACAGATATTTGAAACCTTGTTTGCAACAGAGCAGCATTTTTTTTGTAATCCGTTTTAAGTGACTACATGTTAGTTCAGCCTTCGTTAAGTCAAAGGCTCCAAGGTCTTGACTCACTAACAATATTAACACCTAATAATCTTTTAATCAAGACTCCCATCTATATTTAACCACAAATACTCCCATTGTCAAGGCAACACACACACATTTGCTCTAAGAGCTGACTTTTCATGTCATTAAAGTAGAAAAAGGGCCATAATGTCATTTGAAATGTTGTTTAGAAACATGTTAATGCAGTCTCCAGTAAAAGAAAGGGCCTTTACCCTGATGGATGCAGTCCACACACACAAGAACTCACGTTCCTGCTGTGCTCCACCAAGCTGCAAAACTGTGCACGGTATTTTCAGTCAGATTTTGGGTTAAAAATATAGACGGAGGACTGACACTGTTGGAATTCTAATGTTTTTTGGGGGGTGCAGATGCATGAGAAGGTGCATGATTCAGCTCCTACTATAACAGGAATACACTACCAGGGTGGCAGTAGCATCTTGGAATGAACATTTTCAAACTAACTTTTCAGAGTTACACCACAATACAGAGCTAGTGATAAGCTAATTACAAACAAAGAGGAATTTTCCCAACCTGACATGGCATAATTTCAAATAAAAAATGGGATTCAATTTGGATTTTTTTTTTTAAAGTTCATGTATAACTTCTTTCTATTGAAGAGGAAACTGGATGAGTTAAACAACAGTTCCATTCTGACTAACTTTCAGTTTTTTATCAAACAGTGTTTTGATATTTACTGTCTGGTGGTCATCTCACACTAATATTCATTCGTTAGCACGCTTCAGGTTTTGGCCCTCTGAGTTTGCTTCAACTGGGGCATCACTGATTAAAAAGCACTTACCAACTATTTAGCTTGAAATGGAGATGGAATAGCTGTGTTTGGTCATTTTTCCTGCACAGGCTCCCACCTCATGATTTTGACCATGTAATTCACCATGTAATAGATATATTACCTGTCCAGGTATGCACCGCCTCTCACAAAGTTTGATTATGTCCCTGTGACCCAGAATAAAGTAGGAATGAAAAGTTTAGATAAAATTGAACATGATGTACCTCTGGTTTCTTTTATTCTTAAAAGTAGACATCGCAAGCCCCAGGACATATTCTGTTTTGGTGTGATAAAAAGCGAACAGTTGGTTTTTTTTATGCTTTCGTAATAATGTCTATCTTTTTCTCTTTTCTCCCTCCTTGTCTGTTCCTCCCTGTCTCTTGGTCTTAAACAGGACTCTAATGGGTCCATATGGAGTTGACCGGGCGGTTCATTCCATGGAGTTTACAGACTGTGAAAATGGCCTGGGTGAGTTGCATTTTCTATTTTAAAGTGGTCGATTGACTTATGTCAGCTGGTTGATTGTGACTGTTTCTCTTGTTCCCAAGCTTCTGGAAAATGACTTCCAGAAACTGCAAGCTTTTTACTCCATATGCTTTCAAGTGGCTTACAAAGTTCATATTTGGAGGCAGAATGTATTAACTCGGGCACAAGTTAATCGTTCAGTATTTTACAGGAAAATGCTTTACATAAAGCACTTGTCTGAGCAACAAGCACTGGACTAAAATGATCGTTTTACAATAGTCTAACCAGCACGAAACAAACACATGGACTACTTTCTAAGAGTGGTTTAGACTATTCCTCCGATTTTAGCAATGTTTCTTAGATGGTAAAAGGCTGATGATGTAACCTCCCCGCAAATATGGCTGATAAATTCAGGTCTGCGTCCAGTTTTAAGTTGAGATTTATGACCAGATTATTAGGTTCTAGAGAGTCTGAAGGTGGCTGATGACACTTTCGCTTTGTTTCTTTGGGCCTTGGACAGTGATTTCAGTTTAACTGGAGTAAGTCTTTTTGCATCCACAAACCAATCTGTTCCACTCAGAGACACCGTAAATCAACAGGCCCATGTTCTCCTGCTGTCTGTGACACATAGATCTGAGGGTCATCAGCTTAGTTGTGGTAGGACACATTATGGTTGGCCCAATGGAAGCATGTACAGATTGAACGAAAGGGGTCCCACGATTGACCCCTGTGGAACCCCACAGGTCAGACCCACCAGGTCTGAATACAGACTTTGTCTGGGTCTGAACTCAGATGGATATCGTATTGTCACCTTGATCAGAGCTGTCTTAGTGTGGTGGTGGGGGGGACTAAAGCCTAACTGGAAAGCATCAAACACATTGTTAGACAGGAGAAAATCAGTCAACTGATGGTTTACAAAATCCTATGAATGGCATGTTTTATAACGAATGGTAGTTGTTCAGTACTGTGGCATCCAGACTGCTCCTCTTTAGAAGAGGCTTTATGTTCCAGTGTCCAGAGAGATGCTGACTAGACGACTACTGCTCAGCACTGACTTTAGGAATCTAGTGGGTATCTCATCTAGGTAACATGTGGATGGACTCAGGATGAAGATGATCTCTTCAACTGTTTTGTCGGTGACAGGTCTGATCTAACTGGGGGCAGAGTAGCTATTTGTTTTGTTTCATTGAAGAATATTACAAACTCCTGACATTAAGATGTAGGGACCAGTTTGAGTATAGAGGGTTTTTAAGTCTGCTCACAGTGGCAAACAGGAAATGAGAGTTGTTTCCGCTGTTTTTGATTTAAAAATAAGAAACGCTCTCTTGTTCTAGACGGATTCTGGTTGAGACTCACGCAACAAGTTTAATTCTTTGTAGGGCCAGCAGTTACAGCATCGAGTCTCGCGCATCAAGCATGGAACATCTGACTTCTGGGATCTCTGCCCATTCCTTTAGCGTAAAACGACTCAAGCTTCTTGAAGTTGGAAGGGTTCCACTGCTGTACAGAAGTTTAACCTCCTGAGAGCATGTTGCTCTATGAGGACTCTGCATTTCTGCCTCTCTGTACCAGGATCCTTAATTTTTCTTTGATATTTGATCTTTTGACCTCATAGCGGAAGATATCAGACACTACTGTTTGAAGAAGGAAAATGGTTTTAGATGTTTTACACCAATTATGTTCTTATTGTGGAATCAAATGTTGTAAATAAGTCATTTGGACCCTCAGAACCAAATTCAACATAAATCTATAAACAAACATTTTAAATCTAAAGAAAAAAACACTGAGCTTATATAAAGAAAAACTACCTGTACCATGACAGAGTTTAATTATTGAACTTATTAGCTCCTACCAGTGGTGGGAAGTAACGAAGTACAGGTACTTCGTTACTGTACTTAAGTACATTTTCCGTGTATCTGTACTTTACTTAAGTAGATTTAATAATGGATACTTTCTACTTTTACTCCACTACATTTAACAGTAAGTATCTGTACTTCCTACTTCACTACATTTCTATACAGCGTTTCGTTACTCGTTACATCCAAGACGCATTTCGGTTTTTTGATTTGTTCGTTAGTTTGAAAGTATCCAATGGGGAGAGCAGAATCAGTCCGCTGAACCAATCCAAAGCGGGAAATAACCATTAGGCCCTCCCTCAAGAAGAGCAGCACAGTACGCAGGACCTGCAAAATCATTAACTCCCAGAATGGAGTCCAAGGATAGTCATCCTCCAGAAGACCTGCCCCACCCATGGCCTTATTTAAAAAGGTTTTATGTAATCTTAGCAAGCTTTTTGTTGAACTCGACTGCAGTAAATACGATTACACTATATTGTTATAAGCTAGCATGACCTTGCAAGTAACAGTGATTACTGCAGTCGTGATCACGTCTCCCGCCATGAATGTTACATATAAGTTGACGCTAAACTCCTTCACGTCCTGGTTATTAAATAAATGTTAGCGCCATTAAAATAATATCCATGTAACAGTTACAGTCATATTCAATAAATTAGAAGGTCATCCCTGGAATTCTGATGCGTGGAATAAAATATCTAAATCTAAACTGTCACAGGGGGTAAAAACAATAAAAACATGCTTTATCTGCAGCATTGCTCTTTAAAATGGTACATTACTGATTTATTCAAACTAAATACGATAGGTACACTTAATGACATTATATAAGCCGTTAGGTATTATGGTTGGCAAGTACTTTTACTTTTAATACTTAAGTAGTTTTAAAAGCTTGTACTTTCTTACTTTTACTTAAGTAAAATAATAACGTGGTACTTTGACTTTTACTTGACTAAATTTTTGTCTGTGTATTTGTACTTTTACTTAAATACATTGTATGAGTACTTTCTCCACCACTGGCTCCTACTGATCCAAAGATCTGGAACAGAGCAGAAACACAGCAGAGAAAAGTTGGGCTCTCAGGAGGATAATTCACCATGCCACAGATTCGGAATTTGATTGGGATATGGACTTCGGCAGGGTCACTCCAACACTTTTGCCTTAGTCCACTCTGCGTTTGCTTTAAGAGTATGCAAATAGGTTGAATGTGTTTAATGCAAATAAAAATTGTAACACACCAAGTGGAACTAAATTAACAAGCTCTATAGTTTCCCATTGGAAATCTTTTTTCTGTTTTGAGAATTTTCTTAAATGAAAACAAAACTTTTGCTAAATGTGATCAGCAGATTAACACTTACGTAATGTGGCAAAATGTTTTTTTTTTTTTTTTTTTTTTGTTTTGTTTGTTTGTTTGTTTGTTTCTTGTGTGGCTCTTGCATTTGTGGTTTGTGAGTTCATTTCGAGTTAGCTTAGTTCATTTGAGTCAATTGGAGACTCCAAATCGCCGCTGGGAGTGAAAGTGAGTGTGTGTGGTTGTGTGTCTCTGTGTGACCCTGCGATGGGACCGGACACCTGTCCAGGCTGGACCCCGGCTGGGATTAGTTCCATCCCCCATGACAATCCAACTGGCAATAAGTGGATGGATGGATAGTTTTGTGGGTTTTCTTGGAAAGATGAAACACGGCATGGTGGGAAAAAAATCTAGGGGAGCAAATAAAAAAAGATTTCACACGGCACACATCTCCTTAACCTCCTGATAGCCCAGCTTTTATCTGCTGTGTGTTTCTGCTTTTCTTCAGATCTCTGGATCAGTAGGACCCAATAAGTTTGATAGCTAATCTTTTTCCTGGTACAGGTAGTTTTTTCTTCACTAGTTTATATGTTTGTATTTAAAATGTGTATTTACGCATTTAAAAGTTTACTCAGAAATGTGGTTCTGAAGGTCCAAATGTCTACATTTTAATCACACAATAAGGACATGATTGGTTGAAAATGTATAAAACAGTTTTAATAAGCCCTAACGATACTGGATGGGACTCAGGAAGTTAACCAGAAAAGATGTACTTTGTCAAAACTACTTTTTTTTTTTTTACATATAAAGTTTGTATAATATTCCTCTCCTTGAAATAACATAAGGATAAATGTATCTTTTCAGTGGGCTATCTGCCCGTGCCGGCCGATAATGAGTGCTGAAGCATTCCTGGTCTTTGTTGTGAGGGGATTTTCTCTGGGAGGTAGCCGTCCTTGCTATTATCTGTGTATTTGCCTGAGAAGGGAAGTGGGTCATGCGCCGGAGCTCTAACCCACTTAACTCTGCTTGGTTAAGAATACAGGAGCTGCTGTTGTCTTTATCCTCACTTCACTTCCACATCGCTGTGCTGTCAGCGAGTGCCAGTGCCATGAAAAATGCGTCACATGTTAAAGCGATTTCAGTCAGAGGGTCAAAACTGTTGCTTTTGAATAATATTTCTCCTGCCTCGAAAAAACAAACCAAAATTGGATCATTGCAAATGACGGACATTTAAAAAAAATAAGTGAATTATTTTTGCATTATTCAGTATGTTGTTGTCAAAGCATGCTTTGATATGTTAAATTAATAGTAGACCTTCTGTTTTTTTCTGTATCCTGAGCTGCTTCACTTAAGACTATATTAAAATTTGATAGATTCGTAAAAGGTATTTAGAACTTGACATTTTGCTACATACTGCCATTTAGTTTCATTACAAGCCATGCAAGTGCAACTTGCAACTATTATTGATTTAAAAGTTTAGATATTTAATTCAATTTGGTTTTGAGGGTCCAAATGACTTCTTTGCAACATTTTAATTCCACAAGAAGAACATGATTGGTGTAAAATGTTTAAAAGCATTTTGCTATAGATTTCAAAGAGTAGTGTCTGAGGTCAAAGGTCAAAGAAAAAAGAAGGATCATGGTATAGAGAAGTAGAAATACCATGTCCTCATAGGAGGAACAGAGTCTCAGGGGTTTAAGTGATCTTTTATTCTTCTTGAACTACTCCTATAACATTCCTCGTGTGAACAGGAACACGACTTCACATCTAGAGGAGTTGTGTTACATTTGTAGTGTAGTGTGTGTTCATATAAAGTTATCTGAATTACATTGTGGGATCCTAGGTATCTCTGCAGAGCGCCCAGCTCAAGTGGATGAATGATTTGAAGCTCTTTTCCTGTGGTTATTCACTCAGTCATTAATATTTAGTTGAGTATTTATTAGTTTTTGACATAGCCGCCATGTCTATGTAATTTTGTTTAACACAGACTTTGAACAATGTGTAGTATAATATGAAAAAGATATTCATTTTGGTTATTATTTCACATTTTTTGTTCCTCTGGGTAAATAATTTTAACTCTTATTTTCTAATTTCACCAACAGAGTTTAGAATTAAGAGGAGGAAAATTATTCTTCTGAAATATCGACTGAACAAAAAGTACATTATAGAGAGACGCAGCTTCTAGTATTTGTTTAAAAAGCATTGTGTTGGACAATTGTAGATTAAAATAAAAAAAATCATTAGTGCATCCGATTTGTCCCATTATAAACATGGGTCTGCCATGTTTCCAGCCTCCTGTCCTGATTATTAAGCTTTTGTTGTGTAAAGCGGAAAAAGTAATGCAATGTGAACACATGGAGGGGGGGGGGGAGGTCAGAGATGGAAGTGAAAGTGTTCACTAGCTATTTTTACGAGCAATTAAAGTCTGTATGAACAGTTGTGGAACAGCTTTGCCACTATAATATGCGTAGGATCAAAATCTTGTGTTTTCTCTTAACCTTCCTCTAGTCTAGTGTTAACCTAAACCTTAAATAAAACATGGTATTCTGGTGGAATATGCACTCAAATTTACACCCTGTTTGCAAATGACTGTTCTATTTTTTTCATTATTCAAATCCATATTCAGGTGTTTTTGCTGTGGTTAGTTCCATGAAGGTAATTTTAAAAAGGATGTTTTTACCACAAAGTTGTCCTTACAAAACACCCAACAGTTCATATTAAATATTTATTTATTAATTAGTAATGATTTCAGGCATATCATGCCAGTTTGTCATTTGTGATGTATATTTTAGCAGTAATCATAATGTTTAATGTTAATATTGACATGCAGAGGAACAATAAATGTGATATGCTGTAATACTCAGTATTCTAGGAAAAGGTATAACTAATATCTAAAATCTTAAAATAAATCAGCTTTTTGACATCTACCTTCACAGATACGTACTCCTTTCGTTATATGTTATGCATTATAGCCTACAGTCAGCCTTACATTACATCTTTCCTGTTACAAATATATCTAAGCTACGCTAGGCTATGCTGAAAACAGAAAAAAATGAATGAATTCCCAATTTAGCCGAAGTCGCAATACCTCAGTTTACCTTAAAAAAGTGTTAATTGGTCAAGATCCTACTAAAAAAATGCCATTTTTCCCATTCCTCAGATGCCCATCTACTTTCATTTGCAGCTAAGTATAAGTAGTATTTTTCATTTTGTCTCATCCTGGGTTTTGGAAACGATCTAAACCGAGTGTTCAACAGACTACACTCGTCTTTACGCGGTCCTAAAGCGTTAAACATTGAGTACATGAGTGAGGATGGGATTTAGAAAGCAAGTGGTGAAGCTGGAGATGAAGAGTCGTGTCTTTTGTGCGCGCTCCGGCTGCTGCGCCGGCATTAGAACAATGTTTTTCTTATCTGATGAGAGGCGGGGAACGGGTGGGGGTGGTGGGGAGAAGAAAAGGAGAAGGACTGGGTCATGGAGCTCTATTACAGCGTTCATCCAGAGGACAGTAATTAACTCGGGCCTCTTTGCTCCAAACCCAATTAGTGTTACCTCTTTCTTCAGGCCTTGGGCTGAAGAAGCCCCGAGCGCATGGATATATCTACTGTATCCCCCTTTCTAGAGCCGTGTTGGAAGATGTAAAGAGGATCATTTCTTTTAGGTTGAATCTCTGCAGTTAGAAAATTATAGACATTTTAGAAAGTATTCTATCCAAATTCCATTCAGGAATGTTAGTATCTAGTCATCTTGTGAGGAATTCTCGTTATTTGCCCCTGGTTTAAACCTATATAACAACAATTAGATGGTTTTTTTTCTTTTTTTTCTATATTGTAGTGAAGAATCAAAGATATAGAAAAAATTAAAAACTGAGATTCGTGAGATCTGCCCAACATTGTGCCAAGATTCCCTCCTTCCAAATGTGACTTTGGCTAATTTATTACAGTAAAAGTTTTAGGCTCAATATGCATTATTACCATGGAATAATATATATCAACTAGAAAAGGGTAATTAGATGTCAAGACATTGCAGACTAGTAGTTTGACACAGGCACAGATCTTAAAAAATCTGTTGTTTGAGGTAATTTTTTTCAACAATTTCATATTTAAGCCATCCAAGGGTTGGAGTGAGAGAATAAATCACCAGTATGCCTTTTTGATTGCGCCTTCAGAGTAACGCACACACCCGGTAAATCGAAGCTTGCGGTAAATAAAGATTGTTGCCATGCAGCCAAATTCTGTCGCTGAAAAAGAACCGGGCGACCTCAGGTCTGCTGCGCTGACCCTCGCGTTCTTCTTCTGTCAGCAGGACACCGAGGGGGGGAAAAAAAAGAGACAACTGCTGACTGGTGACCTTCCCCTCCGTCCCCCGAGTTAACAATATTCAAAATGCCATCTGCACCTGTGTATCTTATTATTATTCATTTAATTATGGCAGGTCTTCTGTTGACTTCGCTTATTTTTCAAACCGTGCTCCGGAAATGCCGAGGCAGCAATGCAAGCAGCAGCTTACTCTCAAATAAAGTCAAATACATTTCACTGAGCCATTATTTAACAGTGTTTTAACGTATATAACCTTAAACCACTGACGTGTATATATGTTCAAAAATCCAAAAATGGCACACAGCTAAAAAAAAACCTAAATCTATATTTATAAAACTATGCACATGCAAATCCCCAAGTGTCGCCCAGGTATGAAATTGTTTACAACAGGCAGATTTAAATTGTTTTCTAGGCCTTTTTTTAAATCTATTTCAAAGATCTTAAGGTGTAGTTCTGTCTTACCAGCATAAACTTAAATGAGCTATTTTTAAGGCTAATAATAAAGTCGATGATTAAAGCTTGACATGGAGTTAAAAAAGGAATCACGATCCAGTGTGGCTTTACTCTGCATGGTAAAAGTATTCAAGTTTTAGGCCCCCGTTTTGTGCATTTCTGAATGTGACCCCTGGTTATTAATCAAAGATAAGAACTTTAAGTCCTTTTAGTGATGGTACACGTTTTTGTTTTTCTCTTCCAACAGGAATTAAAGTGATCGGTGGAGTGAAGGAGCTTACTGGAGAGGAGTTTGGGGTGTACGTCAAAAGGATTTTACCTGGTGGGCTAGCTGCAACAGACGGTAAATGCTGTTTGATATTTTGAAAGATGAGATGTTTTTCCCAGCCTCCCTGTCTTACAACCCCATACGGAAAAGATTGAGATAAATCTTATCAAATTTGTATCTCTTTTGTCTGATACTTTTACCTAAAGCACACAACAGTGAAACCAGATATAAGATCCATAGTAAATCTGATCAAAATTAAACTTGTATGATTTGAGTATTTATTAGAACACTATAGAAATAAAGTAAATCACATATTCTTTATATGATGCACAATGCATGAAACATAAACAGAAAGATACATTTTTTAAATCAGTTTTTTCTACTTCTTTTCCGTCTGGGATTGGTGGGGAAAGCAACAATGTGCTGAAGACCAACACTTCACAGAGACGAAAAACAGATTTTAAACCATTAGAATTTAAAACCGTTAGAACCCTGTGAGAAGGAGCCAATTAAGGTTTTACTTAAAAGCTCTTGTTTACCCAAACTGTTACTGAATCTGTGTGAGAGATGCAAACACCCAGAAACTAGTGTCTACACAAACGAGAGGTCATCTCTGCAGGGAGATTTAACTTAACCTCTAACGGAGCCCTTTACCAGTTAAGTCTCTGCTCTTTTCTACTAAAAAGAAAAACCTTTTAAGGTTTTAACGAAAGCGTCTTGTGAAGGACTTGAGAAAATGAGCAGAAGAAGGTTGGAGTAGTCGTGGACGCTGAGACGTTGGTCAGACTCGTCAGACTGAAGACCAGTGGAGTGACAGAACAAGTTTTTTTTTCTTTTTGGGGTGGGGGGTTCCCATGGGAATATAACAGCATGAATAAAACAGCACACAACATTGTCATGGCCTACTTTCTTTGTGGCATTAATGATGGATATGGGCTGCGGACGTGGAACTAAAACCAGTCATCAGAGCTTAGTTTTTGTGATATTGAGCTCAGAGACTCACAGTTAAGCTAAAGTAAGATAAGAGGACCCAGATTTTTTTTCATTAACACTTAAACATGTTCGACTTCCTTGTCTCTAACCTTACACTTCCATTTTTTCCCTTAGTTTAAGTCTTATCAGTACCCCGCTCAATAGATAGCGTTCTGGGTCTCTAATGTGCCAAGTTAAAAGAAGTGCTAACATACATCTTTATAATTCATATGTAATCAAAAGTGCAAATTTTAACAGTGAATCAAAGAGATATTTAATTTTCCCTCTTAATTCTGTTTAGATCATTAGTAGAGATATTAAATGAGACGTCAAAACATTCTACACTCCACAAAAACGATCCCTTCACATTGATATTGTTCTGCTGGGACTCCAGAGTAAAATTTTAACGCAGAGGTCCATGAGTATTATAGATTAACTTGAGATCTACTTTACGGATCCCACAATTGATAAACTATTGGGCAGCATCATGAAGACATACACAAAAGCTCAAGTAAACGTTCAGTGTGGGGTGCAGGAGATGTTCTATGTGTTTCTGCAGTTTTTTTCATGGTCCTCCTCGCCACCACGGTCCCAAAGGTCTCCTTTTACTTTAATTACTGGCTATTTTCTTTGTTTTTTATTTGTCTTCTACTGGTTCTTTCTAGGTCCTACAAATTAGTTGTACAAGACAATTCAACGTGCTTCTCAAAAAGTAATAGTAAATAGTAATAAAGCAGAAAGTAAAAATCGAGAAAATACATTGACAAAAGTTCAACAAAATGAAACAATCATTGATTAAACGGATTGAAATAGAAGAGTGCAGATGAAATACCTTCAGTTGTCATATCACAGCTAAATAGAACCGTTTTCAGCCTGGATTTACACATTGTCAGAGTTGGAGCCTGTCTAACTTTTTCAGGAAGATTTTGTGAGCATAACACCGAAACACAATATCCCCCGTTTAGTTGTGAGTCTGGACACCAGCAGGAGACCAGAACCTGAGGTTCTCAGAGTCCAGCTGGTTCATACGACTCTAACAAGTCAGAGACGGACTTTAGATCATGAAGAGGCTTGTACACAAGCAGAGCTGTTCTAAAGTCTGTTCTCGGAGTGACAGGAAGCCAGAGCAGAGACCTGAGCACTGGACTGATGTGGTGGTATTTCCTGGTTCTGTTCAGAACTCTGGCAGCAGCATTCTGGGTGAACTGCAGCTGGATCACAGCTGGTTTAGGGAGCCCAGTGAGCAGCCGTTACAGTAGTCTAACCTGCTTAGTCGTTCTAGGTCTGGTTTAGTCTCTATTCACATTATGGCTGCGTATTAGCTGGCCCAACGGAAGCCTGTATAAACTGAATAAAAGGGGTCCCAGGACTGACCCCTGGGGAACGCCACAGGTCATACTTATTCAGTCTGAGACACAGTTCCCAATCCCAATTTCCTCGAGGAATGACTTGAACTACTTTAAAGCCATACCAGAGATTCCCACCCAGCCTTCTATCCTCTGTGATAAATTCACATGGTCCACTCATGTCCAGCAGAGCTAGAACCGAACAGGCGTTTGTCGTGTGTTCCACTGTGATCTGTAAGTTAGTCACTCAGGTGATTAAACCACCGGATACAGGCCTAACACTCCACCTACCTTTGACTATTCACAGGCAACCTGATGCCAGGAGACCAGATTCTGGAGGTGAACGGGGACAGTCTAGTTGGAGTTACAAGTGAAAGGTAATCTAGTGAAAGACTGGCTGCACTAACCTCTTTTTGAAGCTTGCGACTGCCCAACAACGTTTTTAACTTCTCTCTTTTTATTTCACAGAGCCGTGGATGTCTTGAGGGCGGCCTCAGCCACCAATCACATGCGCCTTCTCATAGCCAGAGATGAAGAAGCAAAGTAAGCGTATTGACTAAGGGACGGTAGTGTGTCCTGGGTCCACTCTTTCAGGTCTTTATTCTGACCGATGTGCTGTATTTTCACATCTGGGCCGTGTGTAGTGACAGAAAACCACTAAATTTAGGGATAAAATACAGAAAAGTGGTTTTGTTTCATCTCAAACACAGCTTACCAGTGAGAAAGTCCCCATTTTAGTTGTTTGATATTGATTGATTGATACTTTAATGATCTCACATGGAGAAATTACTTAAATCCCACTATTTGCATCCCACTATTGATGCAAAACTGAGAACCCTGAAAAAAATCCGTTTCAGTTCAGCATATTCGGCTTCTGTTGATTTCAGCTTTGCTTTACTTTTGGCGTTAGAATTATTTGTCTACCACATCACAATAGCACAGAGCAACACAGTGAATAGAGATCCTAAAAATGTAAATACACGTATGCATGCGCTTTGCAGCATACGCATTAGTCATGCTACAGGATGGTAGCATTAGTGTTGAACCAGCTCTCTAATCTGACTGTGACCAGTTTGGGTGAAAACAAGGTCAGTGCCAGCTGTCAGCAGAGCAGGCATCATCTTCCCCTTCAAATCCACCGCACGCAATATCATCCTTAGCTGTCTGTTGCGAAAAGGTGGCGGGGAGCTTTACATATTTTAAACTACCCAAAGACTGTGGCTTATGAATATTTCAGCCCCTGATATTTCCCTAAAAAAAAAAACGTTCTGGCTCGTACATCCTCGGTGAAGACGGTCTGACAGGGTCAGGATTTGCACCTCGGCATATCAGACAATATGTGTCACGACTGGTTACAGAGATATCACACAGCACATTCAGACTTATAGAGTACACATGCAGAACCCATATAAGTGATATACAAAAAAAATATATACATATATATATATGGTAGAATCATTTGTTATGGCTTTCTGTTGTGTTGTCAGCTATCTGGTGGTTAAACACTTCCCGTTGCCTTATATGTAGAAGAGTAACTGTGGTCTCGGGGAGGGGAGAGCTTAACCTAGAGCGGTGCTCCTGACGAGATGAGCCATGTGTGTTAATCTGTGCTCTGTGCTTTAACTACCCTGCATCCCTCAGCAGAGGAGCTGAAGAGAAGAGAGCAGACAGCAGTGAGGCAGAGGGATTATGCCTGCGTGTGTGTGTGTGTGTTTGTGTGTGTGTGTGTGTGCCCGTACTCCCCTGTTGTTCCCTTCCCGTGGACATTTTGGTCGAAATTGTTCGGTTTTCAAACAAAAAACGCAACGATTTTACTTGCAGGATATCAGTCCTAGTGATGCCATGTGCATGAAAGTGAGAAGATGAACTTCAGTCTGAATATTCATACGTAGAGTTTAAATGAAAAAAGCATGTAAAATAGGTAATAACTTCACAACTACAAAAAAAGGTCATAGTTAAGCTTTCACATACAAAAGGGTTTTTTTTGTGTGTTATATCCTCCTGAGACCCGGCCCATTCATTTATGTCCATTATAGTGGACATTTTGTCCACCTGTACCCCCCCTAAGTATCTGGAGTTACCCTATCAGCCCTATAGTGTTCTGTAGAGGACATCCTGGGCTTTCCAGTGATGTGCCATGTGATAGGTTTGCATGCTGGGAACTTTACTTTTTCCTAAGAGTTCTTAGGTAAATATCCATCTTCTTTTTTATTATTTAATTATCTAAAGCCTGTTCTATTTTCCCATGCAAATCGTCCTGTTGTCCTCCACAGTGGGCATGCTATGAAATTAAAATTAATTTTTTTTTTTTTTAAATTGAAATTGTAATGTTCTTATTTAGGTCCAAATACATGGAAAATCTCAACAAAAAAGAAATTTGAAGACACTTTTTTTCTTTGGGTCTCAGGAGGATATCTCTCGTGTTTGGCATTAATAACCACGGGGGCCGGTAACAGAAGCGTAGGCCGTGACCTTTCATCCACTCTGCCCATCACGCAGCCAGTGCATAATTATGGGGCCGACCCCGTGTTATTCCTTTAGACAGCACGCCAGATGAAGGTATTCTTAGACTGCCAAGTGTTGAGAAACAGCTGTCTAGTTTTCTCTCATCCTGGAATGGAGTTACCGGGCAGTCTTACCGGTGACAGCTTTTACCTACACATGAGTTTACATCGAGGTTCTGCCCATATAGGCCATTTTTTCCCCTGTCAAATAACAAATTGGGTCCTCATTATCCATTGAGCCAGTTTTCCCAGTGCATTGTATTATTTGTTATAACCTGGTAATACATGTTACATGTATCACCTACAGGAGCTATCATGTTGTGTTATACAGATATCATATTTTGCGATACAGCTGTTGAATATATTTCATGATAACGTACAGTGGTTGATAAAACCTCTGTGGATTTCGGATCTACACAGAAATGATGGAATATTGAAAGCAAAGAACACAAAAGAGAAAGAGCGATGACAATAAGTGATAACATAAGCATGCGAGAAGTTATTTTAGCTAACCATAGTAGGCACGTCTTCGTCATCTCCTGTCTATCCATCACATTTATACTCGCATACATCCATTCCTTAACAACATCTACATCTCCTTTCTTTTGAAAAGGAGAGAATTCGCCGACCTCCTCGAAAAATATGGTTCCAATGGTAGCACTGGGTCAACACGCAACTCTCCCATCCAGCAAGGTAGGCTAACGCTCGATATTCGCAACGTCACTGACAATTTCCTCTGCAAACACTAATGAAATACTCATCATTTATTGCACCGGAAATACAGTTTCAAGACGTTCTTCCTCCAGTTTTATTTGGAGCAACTTCCTAGTGCTGCCAAAGCACCCGTCCATGTTTGGTGGAGGAGTAACCCCTTCAGGGGGGATGCAGCAAGTCAACCTTAAAGGCTTATTAGGACAAGTGCACTTGTCCATCACACCGTTCCAAACATCTGTTTCGGAGGGGGGGGCAGCCAGCTGGTACTGATTCGCTAAAACAGCCCTTCAGTGCTTGAAAGGGCTGGTGCCCTCTGTGTGGGGATGTTGTAGGCGTCGTCATGTGTCCATACAGTTTCTGTTCCGCTTATAATCAATGGGGATCCACCATTCCACTAATCCCCCCCCCCATAGTGGAACACCGGATGGTATCCCCCAGTCTGGGATTGGAGGGCCAGCCAGAGTCCAGCATAAAAAACAAAAGATGTCTAAAAGTATTTGACAAAATTAAACATACAAAAGTTAAGCAAACGTGCCCGTCGCAATTAGAACTAATTTATTTAAATATTTTATAATAAAAATGAACAAACCCCATGTGTTTGTGCTGCTGTTGTAGCTCTGTGGAATGCTAAGACACTTCCTCTGACCATTTTCTGTCCATCTCTATTCATGGAAGTGTAGTTTACAGCACACATTTACAGATTAATCTAATTTACCATCCTCCGCTCAATGATGACCCTCCTTCTGATACATGCAGCACTGCCCAAAGTTGTACTCTGTCAACAAAATAATCGAGTTTTGTGTGATTAAAGTTAATGTAGCAGTTGTCTGTTGTACTCGTATGTCATCCCAGGGGAAAATAATAAAGACAAAATCATTTTTTGTTCAAATTTGTTAGAAACATTGCTGATGAGGACATTTTCTCAAAAAAATTGCAAATTGAAGGAATATAAACACATAGATCATTGCAGGTGCATACCATAGTCTTTTGACAAGGTTGATGATAATAATGTAATTTGAATGATAAAACGTCAAGACCAAAGTACTTTGGCTAAAATATAATTGGAGTCACACCCATAATTTGTATTGTAATGTATTGATTAACAGAGCAGTAGAAAAACCTGTCTACAGTAGAACCTCTACTTACGATTGCCTATACATACAAATTTTCCAACATACCAAGTGAGATTTAATCAAATATTTGACTCGACACCTGAAGTAAATTTCAATCATACGTCGAAGTCATAGAAAAATATATGTAAACTATAAAAATCAAATAAAAATAAATAAGTTAAGTTAGTTTAAAGTTGACGTAGGTTAAATGCCAATAAAAAACCCTTTTTATTGATAATTGTTTTATAATTTAATTCTTTTTAACATCTCTCTTTTACACTGCATTTTTTTTATTGCTATGTGTAATTACCTGCAGTATCTATTTAGGAGTTATTGTAGCTTTTGGGGCTGTGGAACGAATTATATTGATTACGAATATTTAAACCAACATACGAATATTTCAACATACGAAGTAGGTCCCGGAACAAATTAAATTTGTCTGTAGAGGTTCTACTATATTTGTATTTTGGATTGTATTACTGTCCTGTATACACAGTTAATAAAATATGTCTTAATTTCCCACTTATTTACATTTAATTGTTCTGACAAGTTAAACACAGATGTAAACCAAAAGAAAATTATTTAAAAATGGAGATGTGCTTTGGATGTTTTAGTTTCTCTGGCTGGTTGGTCTGCATATTGGGTATTATTCTGGAGTTAGAGTCACTCAGGCTTAAGAAATACTCGATAGAGCCAAAGCTCTTAAAGTGCAGAGCCACTTTAGTCAAATGAGGCTGCAGCAAACTAATGAGAACTTTCAAGGAGACAAATTCCACCCGCTCAAATCCTCTCTGAAGCGGCCGTTTAAGCTCGGCGTGGCTCTCTCTAATGGCCGAGTCTGACCGGAGGCCGGTGTTTTCTCTCTGAAGGGGGACGCTTCCTGGACAGCACGTCGTCCGGGTCCTCGTCCAGATCCCAGAGCCCGCTGCTGCTGAGCCCGGCCGGCTCGCAGAGCATGTACAACAACGGCGGGCCCATGATGCGCTCTCTCAGGTCAGCAGTGTGCGGCCACAGAAACGTGCACAAACACAGTCAACAAGACGATCC